ATTACGCAAAACTAACCGCCTTAGTGTAAGTAGTTAACAGTCATGCACATTGTTCCACATATCATTGTTGAGGAATATTATCCGAAACCAATCCCGCCAAACTTCCAGAAAAGACTTACCAAAATCGATAAAAGGATGGAAAAGATTTTTATTTTTTTTTAAAAAAAACTTAATATCTAGGCCAATACAAATACTCCTTTATTCAGTATCCGGCTGTACATCTTGCTTGATTTTCATCTTAAATTTTGTGTTCACTATTAAACATTTAAGCCGAGGAGTCAAGACATAATTAAAACGTTTGTCTAAACAATGTACAGTTGTAAAAGGGCGGTAAGCCTCGGTCTAAAGAAGATGTTTCCTAATCGCATTTAGTAAATTCGCAAAGAATTTTAAAACATTCTATTATCAGTTCATTATTTGCTTCAAACTTCTGATAATTTACCAAACATCTTTAGACGTGTTTCTAGTTAGGAGGTTGTATTTATTGATGGTGTGTTTCATGATCTGCTTATAAGACTTACTTCAGAGATAAAAACCATTTTAGTGTCATGTGCCATTGTTATTCACTATTAATACTGATTATCTATTTGTACTGCCATCAAATCAAGGCAATTTCTTGCAATAAACAATCCGTTTAAACCAGTTGAAATAATAAGATAATTACTATTCACAAGGGTTTGTAATCTTTTTTGTTAGCTGAATTAGTCAAAGGTAACCTTAACTAGTAAATAAGATCAGGCCCACTTCCAAAACATGTATGCCAACTCCATTGATTAAAGAAGAAAGTGCCTACACAATTGGAAATTGTTGCAGTGTCTGTTGAAAAGTTTAATTTACGGCAAAATTGTATCACCTACGTATAGAATCCAAAACGTCGTCAATATCATTATTCCGAATCTATTCGAGGATAAAATCACCTATTTTACAAGATGTAACACATCAAGACCATATTCAAGCAAGTAAATGTCATTCAGATTCTTCGTTTGGAGAATAGTCCTATAACCTGTCTGGGATTCAATGTCCCAAGTCATAATTAATCAATTAAAGATTTCGTTTTGTCAAGTACACTCCATCTAATCATAACATAAAATCGAATAATGAAGATTTACTCTGTCAGAAGGGTGTCACTTTCAGACAGCAGTAACATAATTATCAATCAATAGCGATGCTTAATTTTCTATATTGGTAACATTAGGATACAAATTGGTGCAAATCAAATTTCTTTACAAACCTCAATTCACACAGGTAAGGTGACGGACACCTTGACGTTGTGCATGGTTAGTCTTATCTAGTCATAAAGCGTCGGAAAAGTGAGACAGATTATGGCGTCTATTTGGCTCATCCTTACTTATAAGTACATTCATGTGATATTGAACGTACAAAGAATAATATCGATTAAGACATTTAATGTTTAACTTTATATACAGAAATTAAACAAATAGGTCTTTAAATCAAATTGAACGTTGATCTTTTCTTTAAGCATAGCTGCTTTAAAACTATTTTGTAGAAATATAATCCAGGTACCCTTGACCTACTTGTATGTTTTCATTGTAATCTCATTTGTAGAGTCTGCTTGTGTGTGTGGTGTGTGTGTGTGTATGTGTATATGTGTAAAGATTCAAAAGGAGAAGAATTTTGTTGTTGCTTTAGTTGAGAAACTGATCAACCATTTTAAGGTTTGATCTGAAATTTCCTTGCCACGCTGGGGAAATTTTACTTATATTTACATTTAATTTTAGAAGATATTGCATCTCATCATGTTGAGAATGGAAATCTTTGTTTTAAAGACCCTAAACAATATATACACATTTGTTATAAAATATCCTCTTTAAACAGAAAGATTAAATTGCTTGTAAATTGGAAGAAAGTTGTATCAATCTTCAATTCTCCTGTGGATTTAAAGTATGGACTGCATCAGCTGTGTATTCTCCGCCAAGCAACCGATACCATTTTCATACCAAAGTTGAAAGAAAGCATTCTGACATGAATGTCTTTCAATGTTATACAAACAATATTAATAAGCCACAAAACATGTCTGCCACTACAAAGGGTAAGAACACTTAAAAACGATTTCTTCTTAATATTTCCTACTGTGATCAAATTTATCAGAAAGGAATCTAGAATGAAGGGCTTTTATTTATATCTAAATAAAGATTTTCTGCAATGCAATGTACAGAAGTTAGTTATTGACTACAAAAAAACGATGTTTAGAAGATTCCATTCTAGAACCATATGTGCAGAATTTGACACCTTCTATCAATGACATCGTGATACGATGCATTTTAAAAATTTAAAAATAACGCTATCCACCAACAAATACAGTCACTTCTTCGATGAAAAGTACATTTTGTCAAGATCCTTAATACAATCGGAGAAACGTTACCAGAAAGCATTCTAGCATGTGGGAATGTAAAATGAATAGGTTTTATCTACCGCTACAAAAGACATGATAGAAATGCAACGAATTCTGCTTAAAAACCATTGAACAAAATTTGACCTAATCTGAAAGAAAGCAACAACCATATTCCTTCATCTTCAAGTAAGCTTGCTGTTAGTAAAATAGAAATAACTTTAAACAACTTCTTCCAACGAACCAATTCTGAGAAATTGAACAAAATTATCCAACTTAATTTGGCTGGCATAAAGGCATATAGGTTGTGAAAATGATACCAGTCTGCCATCCAGTTTTACTTCTACTATAAAAAAATGCAAAACGCTTTTAATGACGTTTGTTTAAAAGTCCTTCGAACAGAATGTAACCAAATTTACCGTAATAAAATAAATTAAATACGACGTCCTCAACAAAAGTATGATGTAACTGAAATTTTGCAGGAAAGATTTTTGTATTATAGACATTTCAAGTTTGCATGAAAGATGCGTGAAATAACGTCCCCAAAACAGCTGTAAGAAACCAGCACCACCTCAGTTGAATCTAAAAACCAAACATACAAATTCAAAATTAAACTACGTCTCAGACCTGCAATCTCATAAAACGAAATCCACCGAAATGCTGAAAGAAGATCATGGCTTAAATTAGATATTAGGATTTTGTCTTATAAGATACTAGATTTTACAGCTTTAAAAACGTCAAAGCAGCGCACCATATGCAAATAATTTGGTATTTACGGTATTATCTACGATACAGTGACAATGTAATTATACAGAGTAGCTAAATGTTTTCATTCATTAGCTTGGATTTGGTCCTTTATTCCATGTAACATTTGAACATGCGCAATAAACATGACAAAAACCTTTGTTCAAGTTATTCGTCTCAAAACCATTAAATTAAAGACTGTTTTGATTTTACCAGGATTTGACAAAACGTCTGTACGAGTATATTAATTATTAATAATTTGCAACTAATTAGATTATGCAACCATAATTATTTATATTTGTAAAGTTCTACATAATTTAAGCGATAATGTTTAATTTGTGCTTGCACCTTGTTGAATATTGAATAAATTTAATTTATGTCTCTTTTATGTCATGAGAAGAAAGCTGTCTCCTTCTGCAGGAATGTATTAATTTACCAACAATGCAAAATAACTTGTGTCAATAAAAGATGAACAAATTTACATCGAGAGAGTGTAATCACGAAACAAATATTTCAAAGACATAACTATTTTTATGCTGTATTTTTCTGTAATGAAAAGCATTTTGATTTTGGATACATGTGTGACCATCGAAATATATTTGGAACAATGTTCATATTATTTAAAATGCCAAAATCATTTTTCTGATTCACTGAAGCTTAAAGCTACGTAAATTTACCGTCATTGTTAGAAATATTTTTTTTGCATCATTATTCAGCTGGAAGAAGTATGCAAATTAGTCACTCTATTCTAACCAGGTATAAAGTTAGTAAGAACTGCATTCCTATAAATACACTAATTTGCATTTTTGCTGCTGGAATAAACATGCAGTATAATGTGAATCAAGTTCGCTCTGATCTGCATTGGTTTGATTATAAAAATGGCATACACATCAAAACGCTAATTACTTTGACTACCAAACTAACCAATATACAGGATTATATAAAAGCAACGCGGTGCTGTGTACATAATAATGGCTATTTTCTTGATATTATCACAACTGGACTGTTTGAGATATAATATATCTCTATTCCGTCCAAATCTGAGTCAACGTTAAATATAATAACTTTTTCGTTGAATTTTTTTTGGAACAGTATTCTAATACCTTTCCAAGAAATTTCCAGATAATAATAATAGTTTAGATATTTGTTTACGAACCAAAACTTACAATTGCTTGTACAAATTTCAGTTAATTCTGGAACCTAATTAAACATTACAAATAAAAGATAACATACCCCGCATTGCAAAATGGTTAATGAAACAATCCAACTAAACCTTACATATTACATATCTAACTGAACTTTACACAAGCAATTAAAGGAAAGAATGTCCATTTGCAAAGGTCAATGTCAATAATATGGAGGATTAATTGTCATCTGATAATGATGATATCAACTGATATGAAAAGGAAAATGGAGGAAATACGTACAGTTTGACAGTACAGATGCATTCTCTAAGATATGTTTTGGTGAATAAAGGTTAGACGAAGACAAAAAATACGTAACTAAATAGCAGGTATTTATAAATAGCAAAGGCCAAGCAAACAAAATAAAACCAGGAACAAAGATTAGTTAATCGAAATATTGTATAGCAGCACGTTTACTGAATTATTCAAGAAAGAAAATACCAAAGCACTTTTCCATTAGTCTAATCAAAATGCATCTATAATGGATGTGATTATGATTTCTAACGTAGCTTTAACAATTGTTCAGTCATATCGCTAAGATGTCTGCAGTGTGGCAGTTTGAAGTGATGTCTAGTACTGAGGCATCATGCCGCAGACATGTATCATGATGTCCCACCCAATCACATTATCCTGACACCAGGCCAACCAGTCTTAACAATAGCCTCCTAATGCTGAGCGTCAAGCGAGGCAGCTGTTAGTACCATTTATGTAAATTTTTGGTATGACTCGACCGGGGATCGATTCCACGACCTCCTGCATCTGAGGCGGTCACTCTAATCACTAGGCCATCGTATCATATCATTCAGAACATTGTAAATATTGTACTCAGAACGAAACAATAAAATGTATTGTTTAACCACACTGATGCATATTAATAGATATTCTTTAATTTTACGGAAGGAGACAAGAACTAAGAAGTGTGCGTGTGTGTGTGTGTGTGTGTGTGTAGAGAGAGAGAGAGAGAGAGATGCTAATTCTATCGAATAGCGAACTTTATCATTATTGTAAAAAAGAAAGATTTTACAGATTACTTTTGATATGAAATTAAGAAATGCACACAAAAAAGATTTCGTTGCAAATGACTAATAGTTTTTATATGTGAATTATAATTACAATATACAATCATAACAAATATTCAACAGCTTTCATTCAAGTACTCAATTGACTTTTATTGTTTTGACATACTGTTTTTTTCTGTAATTTGTTCTAGTTGTACTTTATAGGCTCCATTTTTGTGTTTTAGTTGCACATTTTACGGCTCCATTTGCGTCAAAAAATTAATAGATGAATTATTTTTGTAAATGCTAACCCATCAGCTGTTGCGCAGGCAAATGGTTACTGATTAATGTATATTTACAAAGAGAGCTCGTTGCCAAAAGGAAGTTAAATCAAAAGATAAATTCAAATCCGTAAAATATTGTACAAATGCTGACAATGACAAATTGATATCGGATACTGAAAGCAGAAGCACAAGAAGTGCCATAAAGTTCACATGTAATTGATGAATGGAGAAGCATGCATGCTTTGAGATTACGCCTGCCGTTGGTGCACAAATGTAAGCCTTTGCCCAGTTTCAAGACAAGGGTGATAATAATAAAGATAATGATCCATTCCACTTCCACCAGGACACACACACGCACGCACGCACGCACGCACACACTGTATGCTTGGTTATTGCATAATCTGATTGGATATGGGATACCCATCACATGGATATGGGATACCCATCACATGGATATGGGATACCTATCACATGGATATGGGATACCCATCACATGGATATGGGATACCCATCACATGAATATGGGATACCCATCACATGAATTTTACTAAAGGAAAAGTAGACTGCTTACCGTTTGATGATCAAATGACAAAATTAACCCTCGATGTAATGTAACCCTCGTGATACTGACGGACTATGTATCTTCTGAACAGTAGAATGATCTATATGGAGGATTAGGGTGTTTGGAATAGTGCCAAATCCTTATTGCTATCATTTAAAACCTAATTAAACCCAAAACCAATCCTTGAAAATATCCGTTTTAAAGCGCATGTAATTAATACAAAACCAAACCATGAAGGTGTATATAGATAAAAGAATAACAATACATTGCAAAATATTAGTTTGCTATTGATAGATCTTATTGGAACATAAGTACACCTGTGAAACCTTTCATTACTTTCACATTCAAAGTAATCATTATATTTGGAACCCATATGCATATCACACACCAGGCTGCAAATCATTACGGCACAGAATAATCCAGCATGCATAATATATCCATTCATATTATCATATTAAAATTCATGTAATTAATATAAAACCTGGCGGTCTTTTGTCCTACCCATGTCAGGTGGCGTCTGCCCTTTGTGGCTTTTATCCTTACACCATTGTTATCTGTTGTCGCTAATATAAGCAGATGTTGACATCGTGGCCTTTAAGAGCGAAATATATCCCCCCTTTTATGTCGGTCCTGGTTGATATGATACAAAAAATGCACTGTGGTCACTAACTTACAGCGAGATTTAAATTGTGATTCTATTGGCGATATTCTGGCGTGTGTATGTGATCTGAGCTAGTGTGCCATCACAGCAATTGCAAGTAACGATCAAACAGTGTTTTAGAGATCACAATTTTGAAATCCTTAGACTACCTTCTGAAATAAAACGGGTACTTTTGATACGACTGTTTTAATTTATTTCAGTTAGAATGATAATACAACATGTTCCGGTCGATAAACCGTTATTAAAATAATTTTGCCTCACCTTCATGCTATATGAAAAAGAAAAACAGTCGAATGTACATAATGTGATTGCGGTGACTTCTGTTTAATCTTAACTTCAATTATCTGCAGTAGATATTTTGGTAACAGCAATATTTTAGAGAAAGATTGTCCCTTAGTTATTATCCGTGTGAAACGTGCCTGCATTAAGTGCTGTTCAGGAGGGAAGTGCTGTGGGAATGCGTGCTTTAAGCCAAAAACTTATCTAATTGGTCAGATTATTTTTCGACTCTTTTTGTTTCTCACGCGCTGGTCACTCAGCGTTGGTTATTCGCCCTCTCTGCTGCTATAAATTAAACAGTTAGTGTAAATATTATCAATAATGAGTATTATTATTGTTGTAGGGTTTAACGCCATTATTCAGCACAAGATAGGCTATACATGGCGGCCAGTATTAATGGTGGAGGCAGAACCTTGGAAAACCCAGGGAAGAACCACCGACCCATGAGAAGCTACTGGCAGGCTTTCTCCTTACCCACGTAGGCCGAGTCTGGACTCGAACTCACGCAGAGAGAGGTGAGATGGCAGTGATCCGTAATGGTCAGCGCTTTAGACTACTCGGCCATTCGGGGCCCCAATAATGAGTATTGGAGAACCTCAATCAGCTAGGTTAGCTTGAGAGCGACTAGATACAATTAGAAAATAACTACCCGTCCGTAATTTAGTTAAAAAACAACTATAATCAAGTCAGAAGTCTCAGGAGAAATTTGCAGAAGGTGCAGAACAATTATTTAAGCCGATTGTTGAACCAACAAAGAAGATTGTTACCAACAGAGGAAACACAACTCTTGAAACATTACCTCTTGATATTGCTGGTCATATTCAAGCAGCTCATCCATCACCACAACCATCACAAGCACCACAACAAAAACTTAAACGACCAAGAACTAATATGATAGATAAATTTACGCCTGAAGGCATTGCTGCTATCATGGATCCAAAACAATTATTTGATACTGCCGTGTTTGGATATTATGAAAGAAAAAATATGTTAAAACCGGAACATGGTAAATCTCTAAGCTCTGCCAATTGGATCAAGGATATAAACCGCATTTCTACTGGTATCCCATGAAGATATTATAAATTTCAACAGATTTGATGAGACTACAAATAGACATATAGAAGTGAGGGGATAAAGTAAACTGCTATTACCATCACCACAAAGATCACCATGAGTACTACCACCACCACCAAAACAATTTGAATCACCATCACAACAACGATCTCAACAACTACAACAAAGCTACAACAACGACAGGAAACAATTAAACGATTAAAATCTCCACAACAACCATTCAAAATAACGGAGGAAGAATATCAAGACTCTCCAGGCGCTTCTGGAAGCGATCTTGGAAGAGGCTTTATTTCTAGTCTCAATAATGTCCTTGTTGATGTTGATCGACTAGAAATCCTCATTGGAGGAAAACGGGCTGTTAATAATTCATCAGAAATCAATATTGAAGCAGCTGATGTTTGCAAACGATTATGTACAGGTGGTATCATGGATGTTAATGTATATCGGTCCCTTATTAATGAAATTGCCGAGGACTACCACAGTGATAATATACAATTATTGATAAAATCACTTAACAATAAAATGATCGTACATAGTACTCAACCAGGACATAAAATAGTCAGGGTAATAAACCCTCGATTACCAGTATAGAAAACAACCTACGGAGATGGACTATGTTATGTTCTTCAGGGTTTGTTTAGAAGAATAATCCCAAAGGCAATACCGATTGCAAAGCAACTGGGAATGAAAGCTATTGATGTTGTTCGTGAAAAAGGCACCAGTCTCCTTGGTAATATTGCTAGAAAAGCATTCTCAGCAATCAAGGATAGATTAAACGATTAATACGCAGACCGCAAGCGGTCTGACTTCAGCCTGTAAAATTACCTAGGACTGTTAGTAAAATAATAAATCAAGCTGTTAATCAAAAACTATCAGAGTTGGTTGATGTAACAATGTCGAAAAGGCAAAAAATATAACCGCTGGTCTGATAGCAGGAAGTGGTCTTCGTGTTAGACGATAATAATTATATTAAAGATGTTTAGCGTATGTCTGATATCGCATTTGACATGGATGCACCAGTTCTCAAAGATGAGTCTGTGCGCTGTTATCGGTATTATTCTTATGACGCACAAGATCCAAATCAGCGTGGATGAATTGAACTACAGGTTCAGGATACAAGCATATATTTCTTACCCGCTGAGGCATTTATTGAGGTTGAAGGTCAAGTTTTAAATATCGCTAATCCTGCAGCAACAGAGGCATATGGAGCCGATGTTAGACTTGGTTTTGTTAATAATGGCATTATGACATTGTTTAATAGCGCTACGTACATGATTGACGGAAAAATTATTGAATCATTTCAGAAGGACATCGAAGTTTCCATAACGATACATGGCCTTGCAAGATACAGCTACGATTATTCAAGATCAGCCGGTCCATCAATGATGTTTGCCAAGGATACAACTGATTTTCTAGAAAGTAGAAACGTAACTACGGGTGACGTAAGAGCTGCTGATGCTCCACAGTATTATCAATGAATGAAAATTTTAACTTAGGATTTGCTGTACGTAAATCAATTTTAAAAGGTAATAGGAGAGCATTTTCGTGTCCAATTCCACTGTCACGTACATTAATAGCAGCTGCAGCTCCAGCTGTTGCAAAAGCAGCTGAGCTAGACGCTGTTGGAACTGCTGATGGAATGGTGTTAAAGAAAGGAACAAGTTAAGGAATAAAAACCTCAAAAAAAAAGGGAAAAGGTCTAAGACTTCTAGGTACCCAGCATTCGTGGTAAGGAAAAGGTCTTAGACTATGGAAAGTCGCTGGTGTATATAGGCTGTCCGTATTTAGCCATGTAAATTTAGAATACTTATAACATCTCTATTAACTAATAGATTTTTAGAACTGTATCTGTAATGTTAGATAAAGATTCTGAAGAAAAATTTACGCCGAATCATTGGATAAAAGTATGGCCTCAGCTAAATACTGAAGGAGTCTGG